CCCGCGGCTCGCTAGATGGGCTCCCCGGTCAGCCGCCCCAATTTGCGGGCCCAGCCCCTGCCTGCAGCTCGCCAGGTGCCAGGTCGGGTATAGCAGGCGTCGCCTTGGGTGGGGTGGGGTGGGGCAATGCCTGTTGGGAGAGAGGTCCCGTCTGCGCACGGAAAATCCCTCAGCCCGGCACGCACCGCCAGGCCTGGGCGCCTACACCTGCTCCAGGTAGAGCCTCGAACCTCGCGGGGACTCCCTGGCGCACCCTGGGGCCACCTGGCGCCCAGCTATTCCGGTCGCCTGCCTTCAGCTCGCAGTGGGTGGGGTGGGGTGGGGCAATGCCTGTTGGGAGAGAGGTCCCGTCTGCGCACGGAAAATCCCTCAGCCCGGCACGCACCGCCAGGCCTGGGCGCCTACACCTGCTCCAGGTAGAGCCTCGAACCTCGCGGGGACTCCCTGGCGCACCCTGGGGCCACCTGGCGCCCAGCTATTCCGGTCGCCTGCCTTCAGCTCGCAGCCACCCACAGAGGCATTGCCCCGCGCGGTGCCGTCCTGCCCAGGCTACCCTGTACGCGCGGCGTAGCGCGCACTCATTGAGCCTCCCTGCCAGTACTGCCTGGCCACAGCCACCCACGCGCGCCCTCATTGCACCCTCCCTGCCAGTACTGCCTAGCCTCAGCCACCCACGCGTCCCGCGCCCCATGACCGCGTAGTGCGCACTAATTCCTGGGATCCATCTCACCTCCCTGCCCTTCTCACACAAGCTACACGCCACAGCTGCAACCGCTCACTCATGCTCCGCTAGGAACAATCATCTTGTGTGGGCCCGTGGTTCTCAACCAGGGTAGGTACAGCCCTAGGAGGTAGGCAGAAGTCTCCCAGGGAGTATATGAGCTCATCCAGATATTTGCCTGTGTTTTACAGCAGGCTACATTTAAAAGCACCAGCAAAGTCAGTACAAACTAAAGTCTGTGCAAACTAAAATTTGACTTGTTTATACTGCTCCATTTACTACACATGGAAATGTAACTACAATATTGGTATTCTGGTTTACTGTATTATTATATAGTACAATTATAAATGAGTAATTTTTCCATAATAGTGTGCAGTGACAGGTTTGCATTTTTATGTTTGGTTTTATGAGCAAGTCATTTATAAACCTGAGGTGAATTGTAGGGGTATACAAGAGAAATCAGACTTCTGAAAGAGGCACAGTAATCTGAAAAGGCTGAGAGCCCTTGCTCTAGGTACACACACTCTCTCAAAAAACGGACAGAGCAAGTGCACAACTGCCACCCCTCTCAATTGGGGGGTGTTGGGATAAAACAACCCACTTCACAAAGACACAAAGAAATGGAAACCTCAACCCCACCTGAAGCAAACATGATGGCAACCTTAACAGATGACCCTGAGAATTCATGCCTGGAAGCTGGTGGAGAGGGGGCTAATCCGTAATGAAGGGGCGATGTCTCTGGGGTTTACCACACTAGCCCCTTCTTTTCTTTGGGACTGTAAATTCCTGTTGGAGCAGAAGCTGTAGACAGTTCACCAAGGAGCTTTTTAACTCTGGCTCCCCTCTCTCAATGTGATTGAATTACTGTTTTAATATTTCACCCAGACCTCCCTCCAGGAGCATCTGGCTAGTCCCTTCCGGTCAAACAAGATAAAATTTTGCTATGAGCAGACGGGAATACCTTTTTTCCCCCAAAGAGGAATTAGAATGGGGATTGATCTTGGTTCTTATTAGATGGAGTGGGTATACAGGAAGCTCCCACTTACTTACAATATATGTGATAATTGCTTTTAGGTGGAAAGTGTGGTCAATATAGCTAATGTAATATCTGCTGCACCCTGAAGGTAAGAAAGTCCTCAATTGGATTTGTAAAAAGTTACTTAATCCTGAATCTGTCTGGATTTTGTTATGCCTAATGGGGCTTGACAGCTGTTTGAGTTACAGGCAGGATAAGCGAATATTAAGTGTAGTAAGAAATTTCAGTGGGGCAAAGCAAAATGGCAGATATTTGCATGCCAATTTCAGTGGAAATGCCCTGAGAGTGATGATTTTTAAACATTATAGAATCATAGGGTTGGAAGAGACCTCAGGAAGTCTTCAAGTCTAACCCCCTGTCCCAAAGCAGGACAAACTCCAACTAAATCATCCCAACCAGCTCTTTGTCAAGCCAGGACTTAAAAATCTCTAAGGATGGAGATTCCACCATCTCCCTATATAACCCATTCCAGTGCTTCACCACCCTCCTAGTACAGTAGTTTTTCCTAATATCCAACCTTGACCTCCTCCGATAAAACTTGAGACTATTGCTCCTCATTCTGTCATCTGTCACTAATGAGAACAGCCTCTTTCCATCCTCTAGTTAGAGGCTGCTATCAAATCCCCCCTTACTCTTCTCTTCTGTAGACTAAATAAGCCCAAATCCCTCAACTGGGGCACTGGAGAAAACCCTCTTGCACGGGCATAAGAGTTGTCTAGATTTGGCATTTTGCTTCTAAATTTCCACAAAGACAGCTGGGCTTTTCTGCTTTGCTACGTCTACACTGGCATGATCTTGCACAAGAACTCTTTTGCAGAAGAATTCTGGTGCAAAAACTCTTCCAGAAGAGAGCGTCTACACTGGCATGTGGGCATCCAGGCCAGTGTAGATGCTCTCTTGTGCAAGAAAGCGCTAATGGCCATTTTAACCATAGGGCTTTATTGCGCAAGAAATTCATGTTGCCTGTCTACACTGTCCTCTTGCGCAAGAACAGTTGCACAAGAGGGCTTATTCCTGAGCGGGAGCATCAGAGTTCTTGTGCAAGAAGCACTGATTTCATACATTAGAACATCAGTGTACTTGCGCAAGAACTCACGGCCAGTGTAGACAGGTAGCATGTTTTTGCGCAAAAGTGGTTTCACAAATTGTAGACACAGAGGCTGTCAATAGGGCCTGAATCCATGGCCTACCAACATAGCACAGCCCCATTGGAATTGAAGAACTAGCTCCATTACCTGGAAGCATTAGTAAGCTGTTATCCATCACGTGGACCAGCTGTTTGAAAAAAAATGGCAATCACTATATCATTGTAACATACTTGCCACCTAACATTTGAGGTAAATAAATTGGATAACTTCTAAATGATCATGACTTTGCCAGTAGCCAATGAAATAATATCAAAAGGCTGAGCACAACTAAAATTGAAATGGATATAATGCTTGCATCTTGAACTCTGGAACTAAAAGTTTTTATAGGTAAAAAACAACGTGAAAGAATGAAAGAAATAAGAATGCCTTCTGTGTACTTTGCCTTTCATTCCCAAAGATATTAAATTCCTTTACAAGTTCGAATATATACAGACTGTAAATGGAGCCACCTCTCAGATGGAAAGAACAGCTGTTTAAGTTGCACATAGCAACCTTAGCCACCAATTTTAAGACAGGAAATGAAAAAAGAATAAATTGAAACTTAATTACTAATACAGAGTAATGTTTAGTGTTCCAGAATAGAACTGGAAGATAGCAAGCTGGCAAGAGATTGTACAGGGCCGAGAGTAGAGGAGTGGAAGTGTCAAAGGGCAAAACCAATGTACTCCTCGAGGGTTCTGCTCAGGGAAGGCCATTCTAATTTAGGATCTGAAGGAAGGTCCCCAAGAGATGCTGCTTAAGTATATGTCCTGACCACACGTTCTTGCTAGCACTAACAGCCTATGGGGCTGTACTAGGAGGCTACAGCCTTTTCTCACTTCGGGGAAAAAAAAAAGCAGGGGCTTTGAGATGTTGTGGGTCACTCTAATACCCCTTCCAAAGACACATTTTGATGCTGGGGTCCAATGCATCAGATCATGCTGCAAGAAAGCCCAAGCTAGTAGATTTTGTGTGTTCCAACCCCTTGGTGAGGCAGCAGGGGAGGAGAGGACTGGAGCAACAGTAACAGCTTCCCAATGCTGGGGGCGGGGAGGGGGAACCCTGAGCCTTGGGAGCCGGATCCAGACAATCTAGGGGCTGCATTTGGCTCCTGGGCCTGAGGTTCCCCACCCTTGATTTAGAGAATGTTGGCTATTAAATATGACCCTAAAGTGTTAGGAATTTATGGCCTATCCCAGCTGCCATTGAAGATTTTGGGCACACAGTTAAAGCACATAGTCTATCCCATTATCTTTATGGAAGTCTCTCTTTTGTACTTATGATAAATGGCAGGTGGAGCAAGTGTAAAATGTGATTTATCTGACAACTGTTATTCCGAAATAATTTTGCTGTGTAGATGCACCCTAAGAGGCCCCAAGTGTATCATGTACAACTCTGAAACAGCTGAGATCAGCTTTTGTCCGTAGAGACACAACTTCCAATGATTTTAACAAAACTCATGGTCAGCATCCAAAGGCACAAATGGACCATCAAAGTACTCTCTTCTCAACTGGAAATCA